TGCGCCCTCCGCTTCGATGGCATCTTATCTCCTATAATACGGGGCTTTGTCCACCGGAAGTTTGTTGTATCCAGGACATAGACATCGTTATAATACTCCGGGCCGTCACCTCCGCCAAACACGATGAGTTTCTTGCCTACGGCAGTACATGTCATGGCTCTCAGAGGAACAGGTATATCACCAACGACATAAGGTATAGACCAGTGGAAAGAATCGGCATCCAGGACGTATAGATCGTTGAAGCATGTTCTCGAGTCACAGCCGCCGAATACATAAACGTTGGAGCCAATGATTGTTGTTGTGTGTGCTCGTAATGAGGTGTGAGGAGCGCCCGACACGGGTGCCTTGGACCAGTACATGCCAGATGCTGGAGCCACGTCGACGTTTGGGGCCGTCCGGGGATCTGGAAGTGACGGAAACGCGGTGTATTCGTCTTGTGATATCCGAGATCTATGCGATGCATACCGAGCGGTCGCTTGTGCAGTCGTTCGGCTGGTTATGGCGGATGTCGACCGTGAAGCCGCTGGTCGCCGATTATGTCGATCTCCTTCACTTGAGGCATCGCCAGCACCGGCTGAGATTGAATGCGGCGGTTTGGGGACTGCTTTCGAGGTAGGAGCTCCTTGCGGGGCGGTCTGTGATGCGGATTGAGAGCGCTGCCGGATAGAAAGATCGGAAGGCTTTCGGCGATTTGCTTGTATGCTTTTGCTGGCAAGATGACCTGGTGTATGGCTTCTGGGTAGGGGCATCTGATCGCTAGACTCGTCATCATCGTCGGAATCGTCGTCGACAAAGGTCGGCCGTGTGGCTGTGGGAGCCGGAGCAGGTGATCGTTGTTGCTGTTGTTGAATGCTCTTCGCCTTAAGATGCGACTTATCGGGGGACCTCCTCGGATCCGCCATGACTGCGTAGGTTCTTCTTCATTGCCTTCCTGGACAGGGCGTTGAGCTTGTGACTTGAACCGGTCGAGGTGGGGGAAAGGTGGAATGAGTGAGAGTAGTGAAGCTGGCAAAAAGGAACGAACAATATGCAATTAAAAGCAGGCAGCTGGAGCTAAAGCCAATTGGCGATCTGCCAAGAACGTAAAGTGAAGGGAGGGGCAGACGAGCCGGTGAGGGTGATGGTGATAGTATGTAAAAGATGTCGAAGGGTAGGGATCGTGCAACGTTGGAGCTGGGGTTGAGGTAGGTCGTCTTGGATCGAAGTACCTGAGTACCTCCTAGCTTTGTTGTCGTTGATTCTGGGACACTTTTAGCGAGGCTGGCCCCTGTAACCAAGTGCGGAGATGAGGCCCTCAGGCGTCTAACGTACCTGATACATTTGACCTCTCACTGACCTCATAGCACATAAGACCTAGAAATACGGAGTAGGTTTAGGGGAATTTAGTACAGTTTTAGTTACACCAACAATCGAGGATTTTTCCTTATGGAAGTCGATCTCGGTTTTGACGACTAATCTTTTCATCAGCTGGCACCGAACGAGCACTCTCAAAAAAACAATCACTTATTAATTTGTGTATAGCAGTGCAAGAGGTAAGCTAATTTTTCTCACACACTGTAATAGCGAGAAAGGCATTTACACTTCTTTCTCCCCTTCCGTTCCTGCCTTTCTCTCTTTTCCTCACACACTCTCTTACACACTCTCCCCTCATAAATCTTTTAGTCGCTCTTCATAGCGACTTTATGAACTCGTAATTTTCTTTCAACACATGCATTTTCTCAGAAACTGACCATTCTCAGCCGCTTTTGCCATGAGTGAGCAACACGACGCTCATATGGGAGGCGTTTCCCCAGGCAATGCGCATGCAGAACTTGCAGCTGATGCCAGCAACATTACAACCTCGACAAAGGATGAAGAGCGGGCTTCGAAGAGACTTAAGGTTAACGATTCGATCCCGTCTCAGTCTGTTCCAGGAGAGAATTTGCACGATGCACCCGCTCCTAAGGAGAATGAGCAAGCCACAAATGGCAACAAGGAGAATGAGGTCCCGAAACCACAGCAGGACCCCAAGACTGAGCACGTCGATGGACGCAGCAAGGGCGTTGCTCCTATCAAGAAAGAGTGAGAAGCCCACTGTAGACCCATTCTAGAGATACACTGACAAGTCAAAGGTATCTTGTAGACATGTCAGCTCAGAAAGATGCGTCCGACGATGCTGTGAACGACGATGACGCAGCTGAGGCACGCGGCACCGCCGAAGGAAATGCTGAGAATGGTGATCGAAAGCCGGGCAAGGGAAATAAAGAGAAGAAGAAGAAAGGCCAGAACACAGAGCGCGATTTTGGCAAATTTGACGATGCCTTTCGTCTTTGTAACAGTCGAGCCTTCTACCCTGAATTTTCTCCAAGAGAATGCAGGTTCGGTGATCGATGCAGACTCTGCCATGATATTCGAAAGTATCTTGAGGAAGGCCGCCGAGGTGATGTTGAGACCTTCGATGGCAAATGCCCCGTGTTCGAGGCTCATGGTCACTGCCCCTCAGGCTGGAAGTGCCGCTTTGTTAAGAGCCACATGAAGGAAATCGAGCACGAGGACGGCCGAAAAGAGTTGGTGCTCATAAGCACTTCAGCAAATGGCGGCGAGAACGGTGAGCCCAAAGATGAAGGATCCGAGGAGCAGCGACCTGCTATTTCCAACGTCGTCAGCATGGATAAGAAGATTGATCTCAACCGCAAGCGGACCGACTTTACACGATCTGACCAGTACATCACTTGGCTCAATAAGGAAGCCAAGCTGAGTGAGGAGTTTATGAATCGTCGCAAGAATCAGTCCACCGAGGGTATCGAAGATCTACGCGCCCGCTTCGTCGACCCCCCCTTTAAGCCTTCTGAGAAGCGCCGTCTCTATTTCGGCCAAGAGACTCCCACCTTGGCACCTCTCACCACCCAAGGAAACTTGCCCTTCCGTCGACTCTGCGTTGAGCTTGGAGCCCAGCTCACATACTCGGAGATGGCATTGAGTATGCCTCTCATCCAGGGAACAAAGGCTGATTGGACACTTTTAAAGGTTCATGAGTCGGAGCTTTCACCCCCCAAGTTTAACCCAGGCTCTGTTCCCATCTTTGATGACTACGACCACTCCAAGGATATCAAGTTCGGCGCCCAGATCTCCGGAAACAACCACTGGGTTGTTACCAAGGCTGCTGACGTCCTGAATCGTTATTGCCCTCACCTTCGCCTCATCGATTTGAACTGCGGTTGCCCGATTGATATGGTCTTCAAGTCTGGCGGTGGATCGGCGCTTCTCGAAAACTCAGGCAAGTTGGAGCGTATGATTCGAGGCATGAACGCTGTGTCAGGAGAGGTCCCTATCACTGCCAAGATCCGCACTGGTATCCGAAACTCCCGTCCTACGGCTACTCAGCTTATCGGGAAACTGGCTTTTGGTGCACGAGAGCACCGAGAACGACTTGGGGCTCCTGGATGTGCGGCCCTGACTCTTCATGGACGCAGCCGTGAGCAGCGATACACCAAGAAGGCCGACTGGGGCTACATCAGCGAGTGCGCCGCGCTCATCAAGACTTACAACAAGCAGAAGGACAGCCTGACTGACACCATCGCTGAGCCCGATGCCAGTAGCCTCCCTAACGCCAAGGATGGCCGCATGTACTTCCTCGGCAACGGTGACTGCTACTCGCACACCGAATACTATGAGCACATTGAGAAGGCTCGTGTCGATACCGTCATGATTGGCCGTGGTGCCCTCATCAAGCCTTGGCTCTTTGAGGAGATTGAGAAGGGCCAGTACCTTGACAAGTCATCTGGCGAGCGTCTACGCTACATCGAGAAGTTTGTGCGCTATGGCCTTGACGCCTGGGGCTCTGATGAGCTCGGCATTGGATTCACTCGCCGTTTCCTTCTCGAGTGGCTCAGTTTTACGCACCGCTACGTCCCTATTGGTTTGTTAGAGTATCTCCCACCGTGCCTCAATGACCGACCTCCCAAGTACGAGGGGAGAGATGAAATGGAAACGCTTATGGCGTCGAACAACTTCAGGGACTGGATCAAGATCAGGTATGTTCATCCTCTTGAGGCACAATGCACAATGGATTTGCTTTCTTAGGTCGGTATGCTAACTGGCTATTCACAGCGAGATGTTCCTTGGCCCCGTCCACCCAACGTTCAAGTTCCAGCCCAAGCATAAGTCCAACGCTTATGAGGCCGAGGGCTAAACAACGATTAAAAAAAAATTAAAGCATTAAACAGGCGAGCGGCGCAGAGGGGGAACTTGTGAAGAATTATTTGAGGTGAAAAAGGTCGATTTTTGGTGCGCATATTTGCTATCAAGGAATCCGGACGGAGATAGCCACAGAGCATGGATGATTGATGTCTTTATGACGGGTCCATGAAGGCCCTATTTGCGGGGGGAAACGGGGATGTGAATCCGAAAGTTGTGTCATAACGGAAAAGTCTGATCTGGTATCGATCAAATAAATGTGCAGAGAACAACTGCGAGTATACTTCGACTCGGCGTGAATGGTTATGAGATAGCCGTGTTACTGAGCAGCACTTTTCACGTTAAAATTAACGATGGTCTTCCAGTCATCTAGGTATTTAACACTCCCGGATTTGAAACCCCGGCTTGTCTTCAATTTTGCTGCTATTATTGTTTGGAAGATCTACCATGCGGTTCATGAGTTTCTGCTGAGTCCTGTAGGGTTTGCACGTTTCACCAAATTTGACATGCGAGCATTGGCACCGAACAGCCTCATACTGAAGAAACGCCATTCGAGCTTCATTCGATTGTAAAAAGTGAAAATATGAAAATATATAGATATATCTTTGTGGGAGTTATGCTTCCCCAGGTATCGCAAGACATGACGAAACCATTCGAACGCTAGGAACTAATCCAATATAATATGTGTATGAAACCCACCCAACAACTCCGTGATGACTTTTGTAATCCAATCACCAATGCACCCTTGCAATATCCGAGACAGAATCGTACAGCTGTCGTCTTTGTATGTGATTATCAACGCTTTCAACGTGGCTGACAGCATTCTATGAGTAGAAGTGGCTCCTTTGCATGCCGTCAGCAGAAGCATAGTCGCTCTTCCCATCCTCGGGGCGGACAATCGAGCTGGTTAGGGAGTTTGTACGGCTGCTCTCGCTAGGCGCGGCCTTGATCTTCTTGGGCTCTTGTGCCGGGCGCTTGATGACTTCGAGGTAGGTAGATGGAAGATAGCCTGAGCGGCCGTCGCGGGATCGGCACTGCCACCACTCACTTGGATTACCAGAGGGATCGTTTTTACTTAGGACGGCAACAAGGTCACCCTTTCTGGCCTCAAGCTCCATGCCTGTGTTAGGCTGAGGGAGGAAGTCGAAGGTGAGTCGGCAAAACTCAAGCTTAGCAGGGTCGACCGGCTGCTGTGATTCCATGGCCTGGGCCTGAAGACGCTTCTGCTCCTGCTCTTGCGAGGCAGCAAGCGTCCTTATCATCTTTGACATGAGATAAGGAATGCCAAAGGCGGCCAGGACAAAGAAGAGTAAAGGCTTCTTGCTAGCCTTCGCAGGAAGTGGGTTACCGTCTGGGCCAACGCTTCGACCTTCGAAGCGTGCAAATGCAGCTGGTGTAAGGGCAGTCGCATCGGCAGGCGGCGGTCGACCAGTAAGCTTGGCAATCAATGTGCGAATCCAGCGCATCAATGTGAAGATGCCCAGCACGGAGCCCAGAGTATCCCTCAGGTTGCCAAATTGTTCAGCGACAGAGACCATGGCTAAGGACTGTTAGTTGACTCTCTTGTTGAACCATCACACGTTTAAAGAACTTACCAAAGAAGCTGGAGTGAGTAGCCATGTAGGTACTCTCAAGCATCTGGGCGAAGCCTCCAAAGGCTGTGACAATACCCTCGAGCATTTGGAAGGTAGCCTGAGTGCTGTTGTTGAAGGTATTGGTCAAGCTGTTTTGGTCGCCAGGCATTCCCATGCCACCACCGTACATACCGCCGCCCATACCTCCATACATGCCTCCTCCGTAGCCACCGTATCCTCCACCGTACATGCCTCCTCCATAGCCACTCATGCCGCCCATACCGCCCATGCCAAACCGCGAGTATGGGCTGGAATAGGGTGAGGAGTACGCGCCCCCCATTGAGCTATACGGCGAGGTATTCATCCTGCTGTAATTGGCAGCGTTCTGATTTACCGTCGATGTGAGAGACGAAGGTCGATTAGGAAGCGGAGGGGCAGAAGACGAATCGGTGATTGATGTCGTAGTTCCTGACGCAACTGACGGCAAGATAGGCGATGTGGCTAGAGTATAGTGAGTAGGAAGGCTCTTCAATGCGGGGAGTCAGGAGAAGGCGAATTGCAGAGGACATGGAAGATGGAATAGTAAGAGAGAAGAATTGATGAATGCGACTTACCAGCAGTCGCAGCCGCGCCAGGCTGCTCCCAGGGCTTGGGTGGAGAGGCCATGATATTTCTTGTTATCGCAAGGAGGAAGGGTTCAGAAGCCGGGCTCGGACAATGGAGTACCGACAAACGGTATTAGAGTGTCAGAATTAGAGTGGACTAATTGTTGAGCCTCCTAGTAAAGCAGACTTGTCTTGGTCGTTGGCCACTCCTCGTGACGTTTGGTGGTGGACCTCGGAAAGGGTACCGGACGCAAAATCGGAGACTGACTCCGTGATTATATGCAGCAGCCCCAGTTAGCGTCACCGCGGCGCGCGGGGACAACGGAGTTGCCTCGGGATACGGGGAAAAGAGCCGCCGAGACCGAGATCTGATAAGAGTGAGAGGGACGCTATCTCTCGAGAATATAAAGACGCGCAAAAATTGCGATGGTGACGGGCGTGGGCGTGGAGGTGATGAGAAGGAGGAGGGAAACGAGATTGTCGCAGGCGAAAAGCCGAGAAAGATGGAGTTGATTAGAGATAAAAAATAGTGGGGCCTCCCTTAACCTAGGCTACGTTACCGGCCGTCGTAGAGCAGGCGCATTCAAGTTTAAAAGGGAAGAAAAATCCGGGGGCGAATGAGACCGAAGAAGAAGCCAGACCTCGGCAGACTAGGTAGGCTCCGCCGACTCTCATCGTTCTTACCTTTTTAAGGCAATACGGCTCGTGAAGAGGGGCGCTTGCATTTTGAGATTTTGATGATGTTTGATGATCTGATACTGGACATTTCGTTGATGAGTACAACTCTACGAGTATCGTATTCCTCCAGATATAATAGCTCGTGAATGCTGGTTGAGTCATCAATTGATGCTTCTTTTATTGCCTAGTCTATGTCACTATGATCAAACCGTTTCCCGTTGGCCGTTGTAGCCGGCCATAAGGTAAGGTAAGTTTCCATGTGACGCTGATGCTTTCCGGTTTCGCCACAGACAATCGGCTCCAAGGACTAGTGGTTTCCCTAACCTTACGTCAATCTCAGCCATCTCCTAGGCTTACCCTATGGCATATAATAGGAACAGAATAACGAACAAACCACCAAATCAAGCCATGATGAGGGTAATGGATCTATACATAGATGGTTTTTGTATACCTCTGTCTGTCTTACTCGCTCTTAACCTTCTAGTATACTAGTGCTTCCAGCCTTGAAGAGCGAGTCGCGGTCCTATTGTGAATGCCTCTATGCTTCCACAGACTTCATGCAAGACTGTATCACAAGGGGATTGTACCCACATATATGTATATGCATATACAAAAAATAAACAGCAAACATAAGAGGCCCGTTCTAGATTTTAAACCGATTTTTGAAACAATGAAAATAATTACCCAAACCAGCGTGTTGAACTACCTGAAGAAGAGCTATCGAGCCAATCAGGATTCAACATAAACTCAACTACAACAACAAACGATACAAACATACCTACACCATGGTTGAAAAGCGACCACCAAGTCCTGGCTTCATCTCTAATCCATTCATAAAAAAAAGAAATCTCGAATGGACTCTTGACTCACCATCACCCTCACGACCGCCAACAACTGCTGACATAGAGTCTGGATCAGCCACTGTAGAGGACCATCTCTCACATTTCAAAGCACATCTCTCGAAACACATATCAAGCCCATCGCCACTATCAATATCATCATATAGCTCACTATACACCGAAAACTTTGGAAGCTCTACAGGTGCTCATTTCGTCATTCATCAACATGACCACCCAATTGCTGGCACGCACTATGACCTCCGTCTTCAGATCAATGAGACCAGTAGCGCCAGCTGGGCGATCATGTATGGACTCCCGGGCGACCCTCAGAGTATACGGTTGAATCGAAACGCGACAGAGACGCGAATTCACTGCCTTTGGGTATGGAGTCTCTCTCTTTACATAAGAAAAGAATTAATATATTCATAGAACCATCTCATAGAGACTGCCTCAGCCTCAACCGGATCGCTTCTCATCTGGGACACGGGAACATATAGCATCCTCCCCCGTCAGAGCAAGCATGCCCCAACGGCTGATCCGTCCTCTCCAACGTCCTCACCAGGTCCATCGTCTGCGCCAACACAGCAAGCCCTTCTACACGCCGCTTTCCAGAACCGCAAGATCCGTATTCGACTGCACGGATCGCGCTTACCAGATCCATACGTCCTAAACCTTCGTTTGACCAGGTCAGAAGATGTGGCCGGTAGAGTAAGGAGCGGAAAAACACCTCGGAAACGGCGTCGTCGTCATGCCCAGGCAGAGACGCAACCTGAGACGAGTGATGAGGACAGTGAGGGCGATGCAAGTGAGGATGTCCCTTCCAACGCTGATGCAGGAACCAACGCCGACGACCTTTCCGCCATGGAACGCGAGATACGTGAGCTTGAAGATGAAGAGGTCCGCAGAACAAGTGCATATCCAGGGGCTTCCAACACTATCGGCAGTGTACATCAACGGCGATGGTATCTTTCACTTGATCGCCCGGCTTGTGGGTTTGTGGAAGAAAGAATCAAGAACCGTTCGGTTTGGAAACTCGAAGACGGTACGGAGACTAAGAACAAACAGAGCAATGATGGACGCTTGTCATACCCATTCTACGTCCGGGGGCCAGATCATGAGCGTAGTGTATTAACAGGACGGCTGGGAGCTGATATTCTCCAAGACGAGTGCGTGGATAAATTTGTTCAGCGTCAAGGTTGGAAGCCAGTGCTGAAATGACACTCCCCCGGGGAGAAAAAGACATGCGCGGTGTCTGAACAGACTATCAAAATTTATTGTGTAGACTACATAATACCTAGGCTTGTGCCACATTCCCATTTTCCCATCCCAGTGCATGGCTGTATAGCTCGTCTACCTTGATACCTGGCAGATATCATATCCCGTAGACTGGCCAGGACAACTACCTCACCATAATCCCATGTAAATCAATCCGTCTCGACCAGACTCATCAAACGCCATCCCATGCTTGCTAAATCGCGGATCCACGTATATGTGAGGACCGAATCACACCTATCCCCGTCACTGCAGAAACAAAGAAAAACCATACTTTTGAAATGATAGTACTATACCCCCTTCCAGTACGTCTTGAAGCCTAACTTTTGGGCTCCACTAGGGTTGGAGCAATTCGCCTCTTCTTGGGCTCCTTGCTGTCTTCCTTTTCGCCTTCACTGGCATCGCGCTTAGTGCCCGCAACACTGCCTGTGGTACTTCGAGGAGTCTCAGGAGGTGTTGTGAGGGGAACGCCTGTCACCTTGCCAGAATTTGTTGCTGCAATGCTCGGAACATTGCCGGAAATCAGATTCGGATTGGTAACTACACCGGCTGCGGGCACAGTGCTGGCCTGTGTAGTGATAGTCGCAATTGAAGACGTCGAATTCGATCTCGCAGGAGATGAGGGACGTTGAGAAAAAATTGAAGCTGACTGCGGGGGCGAAGGGGCAGTGAAAGAGCTCGCCGAGTTGCGATGGTGGTGATGCGAGCCGTTAGGAAAGGGTGAAGGTGGAGCAAAGGCGGTCGTTGGAGTAGGCATGGGAGTGCTTTGATTAGACGAGGTCCCTGTTTGCGACTTGGGCGGACCGACTTCACCCTTGTAGACTTCACCCAGTTCTCCAGATGTAAAAGATAGTGTTGAGCAGAAGCCATCAGAAGACGAGATCATTAAAGTCAGACCATCGCTTGACCTAGTAGTTTTGTTAGCCAATTTACTCAGTTGATAGGTGATAGGAACTCCAGCATACCATGCAAGGTCAGTAAAGGTAGCGCAATGAAGGTTGCTGACAACACAGATAGGGGTCTTTTGCTGAGTATCGTAAAGTAGGACCGAGTCTTGTGTAGCCACAGCGTAGACCATGCGATAAGGCAGGGAAAAGGCAGGCTTTGGGCCTGGTGTAGCCGAAGCCGTATCTGAACCCGATGTCTTTGCGTCTGATGTGTTTGAGGGTGGTGGAGGTGGATCCATGACAGAAGGAGCTGGGGATGGCTTCGACAGAGGTTCTGGAAGGGCTGGAATAGGCTCCTCTGAAGATGATGTGTCAATGGTTATGTTGCGTGTGACAGGAGGAGACTGTCGCAGTGTGTAGAATATGGGAGAACATTTTACCACGACCGAGGGCTTCTTGTGACCTGGTAGATGGGCAATCGGGGGCTTGTTGATACCACCACGCGTGTAAATGTAGACTGTGTTAATCACTTCATAAGTAGGTTTCGCGTCTCTTTCAGCCTGGTGTTGGTTTTGGTACTGTCCAGATGGGGTTAATAGCAAGCTGCCATCCGGTGTAAATGTGAGCCGTCGAAAGAAGGAAGTGAGCGTCTCATTGGCATAGAGGTTCGCGTTCTTCATTCCCAACCCGCTGCTCAACGTTGACGATGGTTTCGGAGAGGGGTCCATAGGCATGACGGCCGGCAAAGGCATAGATGGTGCTGGCGATACAGATCGACGAGAAGAGAACGAAGATCGACGGCTATGGCTAACGACACTGGGAGGGTTCATAGGAAGGGCGAAAGAAGTCGGCGTGCCGGGTGCAGAAGGCACAGGGGACCCGATAGAAGGCGCAGACTCGAGGACAGCAAGCGACGAGCGATGGCCAAAGTCGGGAGGAGCAGGACTGCTCGAGGAGATTCGTCGAGGAGGAAGATCAGCCTTGATATGGCTGGCAAGTCGAGGAGTCTTGTCGTCTACGCTAAGGGTGTATTGTCCATCCTTGGTTTTTAGAGAATAAATATGAACTGATCGATCGGAGGACTGCGTCGCGATGTACTCGTTGAGGGGATCCCATGTGACGCCCTGCACATAATGGCTGTGCTCAGCGATCTGGCGCACGAGTGTTCCTGTTTGCTGTGTTAGAAGCTGACGGTTATCGGGTCGTTGAATATCGCCTGCTGACCTGTCTGAGCGTTGTAGATTCGTGCTATGTTATCCATACTGCCGATGATGAAGTACACTCCGTCAGGAGACCAGGCCAAGTCATAGATCTCCGCGCCACTAGAACGACACATATGCTTTGCCCTCCAAGACTCTTTATCTTCCGGGGCATCGGATCCGAAGGCTGTTTGGGGTGTTTCGCTTGGTACCCAGAGGATCACGTTGCCATCGTCGCCCGCAGAGGCTAGAAGCTCGCCTGGAAAAGAAGCTGTGAGTAGAGTAAATTGTGAGTGCGGATTGGAGAGCCTTACCCTTGGGCGCCCAACGAACAACATTAACAGCTTGGTTGTGCTTTGAAAGGGTTGAAAGGTACTCGACCTTACGGTCCTCCCCATCAACCAAAACCCTCCATATTCTGATATGATTATCACCACCAGCCGTGGCTAAACGACCCTTTCCAGATGGTTCGAAGTGGGCGGAGTAAACGGGGGCATTCTGGTCATGCCAATTGATGATTAGAGGAGCAGCTTTCATCGTGTTGATATGTTTAGGTGATCAAACGGAGGTGGAAGCTGCATAGGTGAGGTAGGGAGACGCCCTTTCGAGGCTGTAGGAGAAGAGACTGAAGAGCTCTGTGGCTCCCACGCTCGAATACGAACGAGATCAGCGGTCGAAGATGGTGAGATGGCGCGAACCTAGAGTGGATATGCAAAGGAGAAAATAAGGCGAAGGTGAACTCTTGATGGATAATTGTTCGAGATTATCGGCAGTGATGGGAATTGGCACGGTAGTGCCAAAAGTAGAGTAACAACGGGTGAGTTTGATGGTGGAGAGTTAGGTAGTCTAGGTAGAGCTCCAGGCTGGAGCTGGTGTGGACCTTGGAAAGCCTTTGATTAGACGCCAAGGCAAGGCAAGCTGCACAGTAGATAGGTAACTAGGAGCTACTTTAGAGAGAACAACAAAGACCGGGAGTGGATGTTTAGCGTTGGTGATTGATTGGATTTGTGAAATAAAAAAGGGACGGGAAGAAGGGGGGAAACGACAAAAAGAGAAAGGGAAACGAAGGGGAAGTGGAGGAGCCAAACGACGTGCACGATTGAGGTGGTTTATTCCGGCAATAGAACAGAAACAGGGCTCGCATCACTTTGCGGTCACTGTCGCTGCCAATGTCACCGCGACTGTCACTTTCTTACACTCACGACCACGAGGAACATGGCACGAGGCACAGGGCGTTTTGGCGTACCTTCAGGCGTGTCACCAACCTCAAGTCGACGGGACTAACTAAAATATGCAAGGCGCTGTGCTGTAGGTGGACGCATTGGATAGGTAGTTTTACCTAGTAGAGGTTAATGAGCTGCGGCGGACGCGCGGGCGATCACACACATGGGGGATGGATCAAATGGATCATACGGATCCAATGAGGAACAGCATCCAATTCATGGATTGATGCATGTCAAGAGGGGACAACGCACCTCAGTCTGCCAGGGCAAGATCTTTGTTTTAAGCTGTGCTGCAACTAGCAGTGGGCAGTGGGTTATCAGTGGTGGAGGTGGTCCAAGACAATTGCGGCGAAACCAAGCGCTAACAAACCAATGGAACCTAAGGAATTAGTCGACTCTGTCGAGTAATGGTGCCTATTACCGAGTGTTCTTCAGTTAAAGTGGTTGCCAGAGCGGCTGCATCGTGTACTGGGGTTCTATGGACTCTCTATCAGGTGTCGATGACAACTGAGACGGGCCAAGTAGCACGCACCAAACGAAATGGGGGCTAAAGATCATCAGCCCTGAAAGGGGAGGGATGAGTTCAGAATACCTAGGTACCTAGGTACCCAAAACGAGTGGCCATCAAAAGGACCAGAAACAAAAGCTAAATGCCTCCTTGGGTCTGTTACTCGGCATGTATCAAAGTTCACGTTGGCATTAGATGGATCATGGATGCATATAATGTATGCGGAAACACCCGGAAACCAGCCACCACTATAGGCAGCACAGACTCAATTCCGGGGGGGTTCCTTTTACCTACTAAGGTAGATACTTGTAGAATTGGACGCTGCTGCCTCTCTTGTACGTAAAGGCATCCCTATTCTTCGGATATATAACCATGTAATGTAAACAAACGACTTGTTAGAAGCTGATTAGTGAGTTATTACAATGCCCCTACCTACTAACTCAAGGTGCTAGCATTGCAGGTGGGGGAAAGTCTCACGGGGAACAAGACGTCCAGGTCCAAGTAGCCAATCGCATTGCTCGTTTTGATCATCTGCATCGCTTCCAATGGCCTGACCTCAATCACTATGGAGACCAGATGGGCTCTTTTCAGCTCTGAGGATTCCGGCTACAGAAGGATGGCATGGATATCCATGACAACCACCTCACGGATATCTGTTCTCTTGGACATATAACACTTTGTGTTTCAAATCATCATTGTACGATCTGAATGAATTCTCGGTAGCTATCGCTATTAGAATTCGGGAATGGACCTATAATTTCGCTACCCGTTTGTGCCGTCAATGTTATCTTTGTCTTAAGCCGTGTGATAGGATCGTCTAGTTATGTATAGGATTAAGTTTAAGACATAAAACAATGGTCAATAAGCTCACCAACACCTCCCTGAATACCTAGGTAGCTAGGCAGCGTGCGTGGCGGCATCTCGAAACCCAACAGCGGCTTGCTTGATGAGTGTAATATCGGCATCTGCCTAAGCCAACCAGCCACCGTAGTAGCCAGATGCATGCCCTTATCTCGTGCGCCCGTGGGAGACCAGCAGTATTGCATTCTATCTATGTTCACTCAGGCGGGTAGTAAGCTTTTCAGGGCGCATAAGATTGGTCAAAAAACGAGGATGACTGCTTCATGCTATGGAGTAATGGTTTCTAATCTGCTCTGAACGAACCCATCAGCCATACTCCTAACTGTGCCCATTGTCAAGAATAGCTTTGACGTTACCCAGTCTTAATCAACGCCTAAAGACTATGCGTATTCTGTGACACATTGCCTTTGCCGGGTTTCGCGAGATCATCACCACCATCTGAAGCTTCTGCATCCAATGAAACCTTGAATGTGCGGAACTTGCGAATAGGAACTCCCCGAGCGAACAGCTCATCAATTTCTTCCAATGTCTTACCTCCACACTCAGGAATACAGAACCACGAGAATAATGTCGCCATGAACGAAGTCACTCCGAATATGAAACCGACTTTAGACCCAAGGGCAGCATGCGATTGGTCAATGAGGTAGGGGATGCTGAAAGCAACAGCCCATTGAATTACAATGTTGAAGACCGCGCCCACAGCATATGTGAGATCGCGTAGACCGGTCATGGGGATCTCTGCGGCTACAACGTGTGAGAGAGGTGCCCATCCTAGGGAAAATCCGATGCCGAAGAGAGTGACGGTCGCAACGATGGAAGACCGAATGCTCTGCGAGGGATTCTTGACAGTTCCGAGCCCACCCATGGTCATAAGACTGGCTGTCTGAAGAACAGCTCCGGCTATCATCAAGGGACTGTCGAATCACGTCAGCTGGTGTTGTTCCATGTAAGTACATACTCAGGCAATACTAACACTCGGCCTGTCTTATCAGACAAGAACTGCGTCAAGAAGACGGCAACAATGTTGAGCGCAGAGTTGATGCACGACATAACAAAAGGGTTCACCGAGTTCAGACTCTGGATAAAAATTGTGCCATATTTGGAAGCAAAGTTCTGACCCGTGAGTTGAAGAAAGATGTTGACGCCGATTGTGATCAAAGTTCGTTTGAGATTCGCTGAGGTCGTCAGTAAATGTCATATCTCTGATATTGGTAGCTGGTGTTAACTTACTCCCTCGCCACATGTCCATGAAACTGCCCTTCTTAACAGTGTTATCAGGGGCATTCTGCATCTCTTGAAATTCGTGCTCGATCTCTTCGTCGGTGTATGCCCCTTGTCGAAGTAGTCGGAGGGACTTGAGAGCATCCTCCTGGCGATCTCGGGTCAATAGCCAACGAGGAGACTGGAAGAATTAGAGAGAAATTTGGCAACCATCATGGCAGTTCTCACACCTCAGGGATCCACCACACAGCTACTGCGAGGATAGAAGGAATCACGAAGAAGAGGCCATAGGGGATCCTCCAGGAAGCATGCCCCTTAATGTCGCTGGTCCCTCTGCAGATAATAGACATGATAAGGCTACCAAACTAGACGAGCCATTAGAGAAATAAAACACCGGGAAGGAAAAGGGGTCTTAGACGAACCAAAAGACCAGACTGATAAGTACCAACGACAAAGCCGCGAGCCTCTGCAGGAACAAGCTCTGACTGTAAAACAGGAACCAAGGCGAGCTCCATTCCGATGTAGACATATGTAATAGTACGACCAGTGATTGCTTGAGTTGGGGTCTTGGACGTAATCAAGATGACTCCGGATATCAAAGCCCAGAAACACATGACAAACATTGCCAGACGGCGGCCAAAGCGACGGCTGAAGAGGTTACCAAGAACGAGACCAAACACAAAGCCAATGAATTGGATACTGTTCAAGAGGGACAGGAAGACAGTCTCGAGAACGTATGTACCAGTGGCTTCATCAAAGGTTCCGAACTGTCTCTTGAAGAAAGGCATTGCTTGAGTGTTGCTGAAGGCTGCTTGGTCCATGCCGAAGTTGAGCTGCGACAGGGCAATCATGCCACAAGCATAGATGAGGCGGCCGTTGAAGCAGGCAAGGAGCCCGCGAGTGCGTTTAGGAGGGGCCATGTTTGCTTGTTGCTCAGAGTCTCGGATCATCAAGTTGCTGGCCTGGATGCAACTCTTGGTTTCCGGAGACTATACATGCTCTTATTTATACATGGTTGCCAATTGTGGCCATCAACTGAAGCTTCTTGTCGTCAGAATTGGATTCGATCACGCGAGATGATCTAGGACGCGATGGAACATGGCTTTGGATAGTATCCTTGATGTTGGATGGGCATCATTGACGAGTGTAAGTGTCTTCCAAAGGTATGGCTGTGGTCTCAGCTTCGGTTAACTGAACCCGGGACTCGATAGTCGCCCATCTCTGGCAAATTCAATGGCGTGCTAGGTGTTCCCCACATTTCGGGGAGTTCAATAGGTTGTTTTGGCGACGCGGATAGGCGGGTCCGTGTATGCCGGGACGGAGATGGCGGGTAAAGACGGAGACGGAAGACATTCGGGGTGGGGCCGGTTAGCTGAGTACCGCATATTGATGGCCTCTGGGACTCTTCTCATTTAGGCTAGTGGCTGGTATTATATGTTCGACCTATGGTAGTTGTAGAACAACTTTGCTTAAACATTTCAAAAGGTAGAGATATATCCTGGTATCGGGATAGATGGACGGAGAAGACGCGGATAGACGGACTTAAGTGGACCTCAAGCACCCTCCATGATAAAGTGTGTGTAGCTCGATCCTGTCAACTCCGCACTCCAGTGAGCTCTGCATAAACAGTTATTAAGATACCTAGGCAGTCCCAGATCGAGAAACGAAATGTACATAATTATCAGAAGCTCCTTGTTCTCTACCAGAGCTGTCTCATCAACCTCATAATCTGCATCCCGTTCTCTCAATATGGGTTCCATTCCAACCCGCAAGCAACCCAACTTTCTCGTCATCGTCGCCGATGACCTGGGCTACAGTGACCTTGGATGCTTTGGCTCCGAGATAAAGACTCCAAATCTCGATCGCCTCTCTCAGACTGGCGTGCGACTAACCAATTTCCATACGGCTTCAGCATGCTCTCCAACTAGGAGCATGCTGTTCTCCGGAACGGACAACCACATTGCGGGCCTGGGCCAGATGACAGAGCACATGGCGAGGTTCATGGATAAGTATAAGAACAGGCCTGGCTATGAGGGGTATCTCAACTTTCGCGTTGCTGCGCTTAGTGAGATTCTCCAAGATGCTGGTTATCATACAATGATGTCTGGAAAATGGTAGGTTGGCAGCAACTTGACAGCCTCGAACCATGACTAAATATTGTCGCCAGGCACCTCGGAACGACGAACGAGACCTCACCTCATGCGAGAGGTTTCGACAACAGCTATGTCTTCTTATCAGGCTGTTGTAATCACTACAACTATGAACCACAGCTTGACGACCCAGCTCACGGATTCTTCACACCCATGAACGCCGGCAAGTTCTGGATGCAAGACGACAGATTCTTAGATCGTAAAAACCCAAAAGATATCCCCGAAGACTTTTACTCGACAACTACCTTTTCTGAAAAGTTGATCGACTACCTAAAAGATCGCAAAGACACTGAACAGCCATGCTTTGCGTACCTACCTTTCACCGCACCCCATTGGCCTCTTCAGGCGCCGCGTGAGACAATCGAGAAATACAAGGGCATCTACGACGATGGACCAGCAGCTTTGCGCAAAAGAAGGCTGGCGAACCTCGTTAAATTGGGACTCATCTCTGAAGACACGGAGCCAGCTCCCATGACAGTCGAACTGTGGGACAAGATGTCACCTACGGAGAAGGCTGAGTCGGCGAGGAAAATGGAAGTCTATGCCGCCATGGTAGATCTCATAGACGTCAATGTCGGCCGCGTGGTGGACTATCTTGACTCTGTTGGCGAATTAGACAATACCTTTGTCCTCTTCATGTCGGACAACGGAGCCGAAGGGGCTATGCTCGAAGCTGTTCCCATGATGGGCAGTGTTGGCAGTGTCCCAAGAATCATCAACAAATACTACAACAACTCGATTGATAATATGGGAATGGCAGACTCTTATATCTGGTATGGTCCTGAGTGGGCATGTGCGTCAATGGCGCCCTCTAGGGGTTTCAAGACTTGGATCACCGAAGGCGGTATTAGATGTCCATGCCTTGTTCGATATCCTCCTTTCTCGAAGGCTGGTGGATCGCATACCGACTCGTTCTGTACAGTCATGGATATTCTACCCACAGTCCTTGACTTGGCGGGTGTTCCCCTACCAGGAAGCAAGTTCCGAGGCAGAGAAGTTTTCCCCGTTAGGGGATCCTCATGGGTGTCGCATCTTGAAGATCAATCTCCCGCTTTTCACGATGAGGAGAAGGAGATAACCGGTTGGGAACTGTTTGGCCTTCGAGCCATCAGGGAGGGTCACTGGAAGGCTTTATATATGACCGCACCAAGAGGAAAGGACAAATGGGAGCTATACAACCTGAAGAACGATCCAGGCGAGTTGCACGATCTCGCTGACAATAACCCTGATATCATGGACCGCCTGATTAGTTTCTGGGGGATCTACTACTCAGAAACAGGAATGTTTGACCCAGGACATGAGTTCGGTGTCACCAAGATCTAGGACTTAGGACTCCAAAAGATATCAGCTGCTTGTTTCGCGAGGACTAGTCCTAGAATCTCATTTCACGGTTCTTTTTGTTAAGACTTTGGCATATGGTTGCGTATTCTTTTGTTGATCCCTATGTCATTCTGTGACAAATGCTCTGAGATAAACTTGTGACGGCGAACTATATACTCTGAAGAGAATAGAAATGTTTCTTAGTATAGAATCTTCCTTGCCACCAACGACTCAAGTCAAAATCCAAGCGCACTCTCTCAAAATTCGCAACCCGCATATCGTGTGGTTCCTCTACTGATACCATTGCATCAGGGAACAAGAAAACACTCAATCTTAAACCAAGGTGTAAGAAATAACCAATCAAATGGCATACCAAGGCTATACGAAATTCAGTACTTTTATTGTTTAGGATCGAGGTCCTAAACTTGCTTTATCATCTAGCCAAATATCGTTTGTTTCAACTTTTCCTTCTCTCCACTGCTCTCACACATGTCACGGAACACACCCTCTTGTTGCCAGAGCTCCTTGGGAGTTCCAAACTCTGCAACCTGGCCGTCTGACAGGACGAGAATACGATCAAAATCAGCAATGGTGCTCAGACGATGCGCAATGACGATGAGTGTGCTGTCGGTAAACTCCTCTCGAATGCTGCGCTGAATCAGGGCATCGGTAGCCATGTCGACGGCGGAAGTGGCCTCGTCAAGTACCATGATCTTAGGACGTGCCACAATGGCACGAGCCAGACAAAGGAGTTGTCGTTGACCCTGAGATAGGTTGCCGCCAGACTCAGAGATTGGGCTTGATAGATCTCGGAAGATGTTCGTATTCTTGGCAGCAAGTGTCGAGGTTGCCGCAGAGGCGGGCTCATTAGTGGGTGTCACAGGCTGTGAGTCGACAAGATGAACACGGCCCAGTGACTCGCGAAGCTCATCATCTGTATTGTCTTCAAATGGGTCAAGGTTGGATCTGATTGTTCCTGAGAAAAGCACAGGATCCTGAGAAGATGTCAGTCTTGATGTAGCAAAACCAAAAACGAATACACATACCTGAGGAATGATAGCTAGGCGAGATCGCAAGCTATGCAGGTCGATTTTGGAAATGTCCAGGCCGTCAATGGTGACGCTACCAGAACGGGCTTCCAAAAATCGGAATAAGGCGAGAGTCAGAGATGACTTTCCAGCACCTGTACGCCCCACAACACCGACTCGCTCGTTATTCTTGACGTCAAAGGAGATCCCCCTGAGGACAGGTGGAAGGTCAGGGGCATAAGAAACCTCGAGGTCCTTAATCTCCATAGTTCCGGAAGTAGGCCACGCGGCAGAAGGCTTCTCTCCCTCAAGCGACTCGGTCTCAAGCTCGGTGTACTCGACAACTCGCTCGGTTGAGTTCATATTCAGTTCCATACCAGCATAGTTTCGAATGGTCCAGAGGATACTCTCGGCAAAATCCATGGCAAAAGACAAGGTGAAACCAGCCAAAGCAGCGTCCATACTAGGGCTCACAATGACAATTATTCCGACGATAGTCGAGAATAGTGTACCAATAAGACCCATACGTAGACCCATCCAGCGATTCACAAGCCACATGTAAGAGGTGATGATACTCCACGAGTCAAGCTTCTCATACATCCTGTCAATATAGACCTGTGTCTTCTTGTAGCCTCGGATTGTCGACACTCCCGCAAGGGCTGCGTTGAAGAGCTCGAAAACTGGAGACTTGCAGTTACTCTCGAGTCGTTTTAGTGGTCGCGCACCATAAAGATACCTATTACCCAGTAGAATACCGAGCCCCAGTAGAACTATAGCTAAAGGGATCACGATGCCGGACGCAAAGAAGGCGGCCACACAGACACCGACCAGGGCTAGCAAGTTGGAGATGAACTGAGTCCAGTCCAAAGTGATACGGTTATCGATGATGTTGAAGTCGGACGAGAATCGATTCAGAATTCTGCCGACAGGAACAGTGTCGAGCCATCTGAGAGGAGTATGTAGGACAGTGAACAGCATCTTTTCAAAGAGTGATCGGCTCGCTTTGATAGCAAGGAAGTAAGCCCAGAAGAATCTGAATGTGCCAACAATTGCGGTAGCACCGGAGATGGCGATGTAGATCCATAAGTAGTACTTCAAATCGTAGTGAGTCCCACTAGCCCTGAACTCGGGCGCAGAGGAGTACGGGAAATGTTGAAGTGAGAATACCGAGGCGTGGCCATGTTGCTGCTGGATGCTGCCAACTGAAATACTCTCGTCGACATCACCGGTCCAAATTCGAAGCCACCATGCTCGGCCTGGCATTAATGTTAGCAGTAAACTTAACCATAGATTTGTAATGCTCACCAAGAATGCCAACTTCATATCCAAGAAAGACAAGTGCACAAATACTCCAAAGGACAACGCCGCCACTATCTTGCAGATAGGTCAGATAGACATGCTTTTTAACGACACCCCTTTCCCGAACTTCTTCCTGGATGAACTGCTTGGCGTTCTTGGAGGGCACTTTCTGCAGCGCGTTATTCTCGTTATTCTCGTTATTCTCAGCTGGGTCTGTGATTGAAGCTTCCTCGGAATTAACAGCTGTTGAGGAATCCGTAGTCTCATCTTCAGAGGCTTGCTGAGCAGTCTCTTCGTGCTGGCGAATCTCCTCCAGGGTCCCGTCCTTGATAAATTCAGAAATCAAACCAGCATGCAGAGCAACACCTTCACCAAGCTCTACTATATACTTCGCCTTTGACTGCACTAAAGCAACGTGGTGAGTGACGAGGATTCGAGTACGTCCCTTGCAAATATCGCCCGTGACACACTTCTCAAAGATATGGCGGCCGACATGTGCATCGACAGCACTAAAGACGTCGTCCATTACCAAGATATCGGCTCGCGAGTAAATGGCCCGCGCCAAAGTGACGCGCCATTTCTGGCCGCCAGACAGATTGATGCCGTTTGCACCGAGCTCCGTCTTGTCGCCATCTGTCAAAATCTGCAGATCCTTCTTAAGAGCGCACACATCAACGACCTGGTTATAGCGTTCTTCGACGAAAGGGAGTCCAAATAAGATGTTATCACGCAGAGATGCGCTCTCGAGCCAAGGAGTTTGGCCAACATAAGCGATAGATCCGGGAATAATCCAGTCGCCGAGGTTTGCTTGGGCATCGCGACGCTCTTCCGGGGCGATGGTGTTAGGCACACAAACAGAACCCTCCAATACATCAGTTTCACCAAGAATGGCAGAAAGAAGTAAACTCTTTCCTGTGCCGGTCTTTCCGGAAATCACTGAAAGTTCACCAGCGGGGAATCTTATGTTCAGACCCCTAAGGATGAACCTATCCTCGTCGGGTGTTTCGTCATCTTCGGGCCAGGCAATAGATGCGTCTTCGAAGGCCACATCTGTGCCTTCGGAAAGCGTGTTCTTCATCTCGGGACCATTGAGATACGTTTGGATTCGCTTCAAGGAGACAAATGTGTCAACTCCCATCGTAATGAGTTCTGGTAGCACACCGAGCGAGACTTCCAAAGCCTTGAAAATTCCAATGCTAACGAAGGCAACAGAGGGCAAAAGTTGACCGTTCATAACAGCATAGACAGCAAGGGATGTCGCAGCAAGCAAAATGGGACTGACGACCCAGCATCCGAAGAGACCGGTATCGACAACAAAAAGTCCCCATAAGGTCTTCAGTTCCCTCTCTCGCATAGCCAAGATGCGCTTTTCCCAGCGACTCTCTAGGGCAGCAAACTTGATCTGCCTCATTCCAAGAAGAGCTTCATTGACCACAGCTAACTTCTCATCGCGGAGCTTCATCAACTTATCCGACCTGGACAGCAATTCTCGAGAGAAGTAGGTGTTGGCGGGAAGAGTAAGACCCCAGGCTATCAGACCAGCTGTGAAAGGAATCCATCCAATCAAGCGAACCAAAAAGAATGAGAAAAATATCAGTTTGAAGACGCTGTTAATGATCAGGAACTGGAAACCCGTGAAGTTTGAGATTCGCAACGCATCGACACCAACAAGGTTGACAATTGCTTGCCGAGACTTCAACACACTTGAGCCGTCATCGGCATCTTCTTCATTTTTCTTGTCTTCCGCTTGGTCCTTTGGCTCGTCTGACTCTTTTGACTTATCCGCAGACTTGACGTTCTTGCGTCGAAGCGACTTTTCGAAGATCAGGGTTGACAACTGGGACCGGATAGGGAGAGCAATGCTCGCAAACGAGTACCAGAATACCCATCCTTCAACCCACTTTGACACGTCAGTATCCGGCAAAAGGGATTACAGGAGGTACTTACAGCATCTAAGAGATTAAAGCCAGCCATCGCAAAAATCAAAATCCAGAGCTCCAAGTTGGATGCTCCGGACAGTCCTACATCGCGCTGTTCGAGAATGTTGATCACGCGTAACATGGTCCAGAAAGGTAACAAGGCCAGTATGTTTCGGGATACAGTAAGGGAGAGCTGCACCATAAAGGAACCTTTGTATGCCCAAAACAGGGAGCGGAAGAGACTGCCCTGAGGTTTAGATGCAAGCCAGTCCTCTTTCAAATCAGCAGCTCTCAGCGTCCGGTCTACATGGGGAACGTCGCTGGCATCCAGATCATTCTTTTTGACCGCAAATGAAAGGAGGGGGTCTACCCAGGACCACGTGTAGCGGCTGAAAGCAGAAACAGTCCATTGCTCATCGACTTTTTGGCCTTTGAAGAAGACATCAGGTCGGCGTGGAAGTAGCACACTGACGAGGCAGAGAAAGATGACTGCACCAACATTCACGGCACGAAGAACAAGAGCAACTGTGTTGGCTCGGGTAAAAAGCTGAGCCTCCTTAATCAATTGGGGCACAGTAATGGTGGCAACAATAAGAGAAGACCCAAAAAGCCACAGGCCAAGATCGTGGACCTTTACAGGTGCATGATGGGCACTCAAGGAGATGGCATGGAGAAGAATAAGAGCCTGTTTAGAGAAGAACGTCAGTGACTATTGCATATTGCCATTCCATTCCAGATACTCACCCATGCCCCAACA